CCATCTATGCATCTGGCACATCCATACCAAATCTCTACCAATTTCTTCAATCTGCAATCTCATCAGTATCTTCCTGGGCCACAAACCATGGCTTCCGCTTTTCTATCTCTAAATCTTTCTCCATCCTTTTCTCTCGCTCACGTGTAAATCCCCTACCCCCACTCTTCCTATATGGCACTCCACTCCAATGCCGTTCCTCTGGCAAATTCCTAGGCGTCATTTTTGACTCCAAACTGACCTGGCGAGACCATATTCTACACATTAAAGAAAAAGCTCTCCGCCGCCTTCGAATTTTAAAAACTCTATCCCATATATCATGGGGCTCAGATCGCAAAACTCTCCTTCATCTTCATGTTACTTTGATCCTCTCCACTCTTGATTATGGATGCCATATCTACTCCTCTGCCTCAACTTCTCTCCTTGCCCATCTTGACACAATCCATCACTGTGGTCTTCGCTTAGCACTAGGCGCCTTCCGCTCCTCTCCAGTTGAGAGCCTGTATACTGAATCAGGCATACCATCTCTATCTCGACGTCGTGCCCTGCTCTCACTCCGATGTTATGTTCGTTTCCACCAACTTCCCCTCACTAAACTAACTATCCCACAATCCCTACTTCCTACCTTAGCTTCATCTCCACGCTTACCTACTCCTTTCTCCACTCGCATGGATACCCTCCTCTCCCATTCCCCTTTCCCCCATCTCCAACCTCTCCCGTTCTCTGTCCATTCCGTCCCTCCATGGCTTATACCTCACCCCCATATTTGCTCTTCTGTTTTCCCCGACCCACCAAAATCAAATATTCCTCCTACTGTCCTTCTCATCCATTTCCTTGACCATGTCTCCACCCATTCCTCTAGTATACACGTATATACTGATGGCTCCAAATCCACCTCTGGTACTGGTTTTGCAGTAATATTCCCAACTCGTACTTTCAAATACTCCCTTCCTCCTGAATCCAGTGTCCTTACTACTGAACTGTATGCACTCCTTTTTGCCCTAAAACACATATACTCACTCTCCTCTTCCTCTTTTACAATTTTTACTGACTCCCGTAGCTCATTAACTCTCATAAAGTCAATACACAGCACCAACCCCCTTGTTTGTAAGATCCAGAACTGGTTGTTCTACCTGTCCACACGCCACAAAACAATCAAATTTTGCTGGGTGCCCAGCCATGTTGGAATCCCCGGCAATGAACAGGCAGATACACTAGCACGCCACGCTGCTATGTCCACATCATACCAACCACGCTTCTCACGTATCCCAGCCACGGATTATTACCCACACTTTAAGACCTTCTTGTATAAACGATGGCAATCTTTCTGGTCAAGCCTCCACACTAATAAATTACATTCTGTAAAACTATCAATCTCCTCCTGGTCAGCTCCATTTCATCGGAACAGACGTTGGGAGACTGCTCTCGCCCGCTTACGCATTGGCCACACCCGTCTAACACACTCCTATCTGATGTCACAATCTGATCCACCCCTATGTTCCTTATGTAATGTTCCCCTTTCAATCGTACACATCCTATTGTCGTGCCCACGTTTTGAAGCAGCCCGTACCTCTGCTTTCCCCCACCTATCCTCCCTTCACCGACCTCCCAACCTATCAGACATCCTTACAGAATCCCACACTTTCTGCATCAACAACCTGTTCTCTTTCCTCAAACGCATACATATCCTTTATCTAATCTAACACCCGACCTTAACCCTTTAACTCACCAATTCCTTTGCCCAGCTTAGACAACTAATCACTAACTCAACCACCTTTCACTAACATTAACTATAGTGCTACATGACCTTAGATGTCTAGCACATTTATCTTGCTTTTAACCATTAACCATTAACCATTAACCCCTCAGGAGCTTTGTACATTTCGTGGCGAGTCTTTCCCGTCACCCCGGGCTTCAAGCCGAAATGCTCACGACGGCATGTTCGCGTTACCCTAAACCACAGCCAAAATTTCCCATGACAGCATGTTCACACCACCCACCCCTCAAGGCGTAAAAAAAAAAAAAAAAAAAAAAAAAAATGTTCACACCACCCACCCCTCAAGGCGTAAAAAAAAAAAAAAAAAAAAAAAAAAAAAAAAAAAAAAAAAAATGACGTGATGGTCAAGTCATCCGGACCGAAAGGGCTAGAAACCTGAGTACTCTTTTTAGCCAAGTTAAGTGGGACTGATTCTTTGTGATTCCTCCTACAGCCCCTTACTCTGACAATACTCTCCTCTCTCAACTATTTCCAAAAACAAATAGGCAAATCCCTTGCCCGTTGTTGTCGTGGGGGGGGGGGGGTGGAGGCAGAGACTGACTCAATGCTAGGGAACTCCCCTGCCTTGGGACTCAGCCCTCGGCTCAACTAATTTTACATGGTCTTTTTTATTCCTTCCTGCTTTTTCGTTTCCGTCCCTTCCCCAACTCCTTCTACTATCCACTTCCTAAGGTATGAGAGCCGTGCTGAAGGGATGAAAGGATGACTTTCTGCCAGTCCTGATCAGCCTGAGGGAGCCATGGGCACGGTATTTCCCTGTTTTAGTTGCCTAGCTCTTACCATTCAAGGGGACCCTGAAGGGTGGACTGTGTCTCTCCCCAACATACTCTAGGTTTACCATGGCCAACAATGAAGATGTTATACCATTACGAAGGGCAATGAGGCTTGCCCCTTCATCAAATAGCCCCGCCAATACAAACTCTCCCGATTCCCTGACTCCAGGCTCTCATTTGACTACGGCTCCGAACACTGTAACTACTACCTCCTCTTTAATACCTACTAGTACATTATTCACCAAAATCAACACTCAACCCCCAAGAGACATTTCTACTCTCCCAACATGGTCAACTTCATCACCACTACCCCCACACCCTTCTTCATCAATGTCCAGAGTTAGTGTTAGTTTTCCTTAACTTGTCCATTTTCTTTTAATGATTTCGTGTATGTGTGTGTGTGTGTGCGTGTATGCGTTCCTTGGTACCGTTCCCGCGACCAAAGCAAGGTCGGTGACCCATTCAGCACGACCTTCACTTGGCTCCAGGCTCCGTGCCCATACACACCTTTGTAAGTATTGCCAATGTATTGGCATATACAGCAGTTTTGTTTAATTTCATGAAAATGATGAATCTGTATATTTGATTATAATGTAACAATGCTAATGGTGGTCTCTAGACATTTGCAGTCTCCACTTTTATGAAGGTGAAACTTGACACATTCACTCAAAAGCACCTTATTCAGGACGGCTGACAAGGGTCTGTGCTCAGATCTCGCAAGCAAACAAGTTATCCGTGAAGACCCTTCTTCCTTCTTAATGTCGTTTCTTGTGGATGTAGATTTTGTCTTGTTTACTATTAATATATTGTAAATATATTGGTGAAATGTGTCCTGATATAATTATCCTGGAGAAATACCCACTCGTCTAAGGATCAAAACTGAACTTATAAAAAGAGGAATTGCAACCAAGGAAAACCTCAACAATCAACTACCCCATCCTTCCTTATTACTACTTTACAGCCTTATTGTCCACCTCTCCATAATACTACCTCCCTCAGCACTACTCCGTCTTCCATACGTCCCCGTGCTTCTTCTACCCCCAATCTCTACAAAAATCTTAAAAACGATTTTTCGTGATCCTTCCCACAGCTCCCTACACCTCTCTCGTCTTCCTAAGATGTCTCTACATTTCCCCTAGTATCTTTTTTCTCCTACCCCTTACCACCTTAATTCTACCCCCTTTCTCTCCTAATCAAATTCTTTTGCCATTCCAAATCCAGATATTCTCTAATCTCTACAGCTTTCCCGGCGCATGTCCTTCCATATTCTCCCACGTTACTCCCTTTTGGCTCAACAGTGTCCTTCCCCGCACATTTCCCTTCCTGACATTCTTCCTAATTCCTCACTTCCTTTTACTGATACTTGTCTCATTCCTTGGGTTCTTCTCTTACTTCTCCGACACCCAGTTTTACCTTGATTTTTTTCATAATGGGTCTTCTACACTGCGTTCCTCACGCTGTGTCCCCCTTCCGGTCCCAGGCATTCTGTCGTCCTACCCCCGTTTTACTGCAACCCCTACGTGATGATAATTATAATTAGCTATTAGGACTATCTCCTGACCATTAACAAAAAAGAATATCACAATTCAGTAACTTAAATAATTAGAGAGATGACATGTAGGTTTTTTGTTTAGCGATAGAGCCTATCGTCCTGGAAGACGCATTAAAACAAATGCTTCACCTTTGCAACTCTGGGAAATGTTGGATTCCTTTTTATCTATGGTATTTCAGTTGTTTATACATACTGCAAAATTGTTTTCTCCCGTTTTTATTTATTTATACATTTGAATTTAGCATTTCCTCTTTGGCACTATTTTATTTTTATTTATTTATTTACAAACATATGTGCTCTTTATTATAGCTGCATAATATTTAGGGCAAGGAGACATTTCGGTTAAAGTTACCGAGAACGATGCAGAAAGATGGAGGGAAAAGGATGCCGCCATCTTGTAAAGTATAAGAACTTGAGTTATAACCAACACAGGGACAGCTGCTGCGGCCTCATATTTACCGTGAAATGATGAAAATATCCGCTGCATGTCACCGCTCCACAACACCCTAACGGTTTATATTGCGTTTTTCGTAAGCTTATACGAAGTGCTGAGAAAGAGGGGGGGGGGGGGGTCACCTCCTTTGTAAGAAATAGAAGATAGGAAATATTTAGTATGTTTTTTGGTTTTCAACTTCGTTTTTGGAGGGTGCAACGCTCTCGGTAACAAATATCGACATTTCAAAATGTACATGAGACATGTGAATAATGTACTTTGCACGTAACATAACCCATTGGAACGGTTTCAAAGAAAGTGAAATGTAGACGTAAAGAGCCTTACGAATTAATGTACAAGTGTAGCCGCGGGGAAACTGAAATACTAATATTGTGCTACCGAGACAGACGCACAGAGACAGAGGGAAATAGACTGCCATCTTATGTGTTTTGGGTTCGCATGTTACCCTGGCTTTAGGATTTCGTCTCTTGTGGGTGCTTCGCTCTCGGTAACAAATACCAAATAGTTAAGTAAAACGACTTGAGTTCATTACAGGCAGTAACAATGTCTAGAATCGTTGAAAGCAGTGGACTTCATGCAGAAAAATATCAAAATTGTTTCGAAAATAACCCACTACCCTCTTCTACATATTGACCCAATTATGTTTACAAGACCTATTTACATTACTAAGGAAACTTTGCCGATATTCCTTGGGTGATAAAGAGTATAAAAGTTCTTATGTACAAGTCCATACTTACTGACAATGTAGTTACCTATGTACCTTACACACACTGCACAACTAAGTAAGCAAATATGAAGACACACGAATTTTCTTTAAATATATCAGATACTTTTCTCCGCTGCATTCAGTCTGTCCTTCGCCATCATAAGGATGCGCACAGGATTCTTGAAGGGCTCTTTCAGAAACCTTCTCACGAAGTTCAGGTAAATCATCCCAGCAGCCTGGCCCAGCAACACAGCGACGAGCAGGGCGAGGCTATGCTCGGAGGGCTGGCAGACGTGACACCAAATGGCCCAACCGCAGCAGACGACGCTCTCGCCCCCTTGGTAGCTCATCACCAAAGTCTTGTCGAAGAAATACCGGTCCACGACGTCGCCCCAAAGACGCACATTCCTTCTGAGATTCTTGTAGACTAACTCCCCGACCAGGGCGAGATATCCCGCTGCTTTGGCGCTCAGGTACATGATGGCGACGTTGCCCAGCCCGCCCAAGGCGACGGCACACATCAGAACGATTCGGCATACTGCAGGTGAAGAAGATTGCTGAACTACCTAACTATCTGATTACTGCCCAAATAATCCCACTGATTCCATAAACAATACTATCTCATTAATTCCCCTAACTATCCTGTTAACTCTACGAACTATTTATCATCACAGTTTTCTTTGTAAATTTGTATTTTTTTAAAAATCAACCTGGAATCACGTATTTCATTTACAAAAATAAGACGACACAGAAATTCTTTAATAACTAATTAAGAGTATTATCCGGTGAAAGCAATGCATAGTTAACCACACCATCTACAATTCATATAATAAGAAATATATATTCACATTATTGGGGAACTCTGAGCTACGCCACGTTTTACTAGTAATATTGTTACCATAAACTGTCTTTACCATAATTTTTATGCAACAAACAAATATCACTCGCAAACACTCACCGGTGAAACACAACCGCAGCGGTATCTTGGCGAAGGTGTCAGTCCAAGGCTCGTCCACACCCCGGCACGTGAGGAACCAGGCGGCGGCTGTGAACATCCAGCCGGCGTGATACAACCCGGTGGCTCTGCCGTCTGTGTACGGAGAGAGGAGGGGGTGGCAGAGGAGAAAGGTGAATGTTTTGTCCTGTTACCCGTGTATACATATATATAATATATATACATATATATGCATTCATACACATATATACACACAAACATGTGTGTACATCTACATCTATCTATCAACACACACATACACATACATACACACACACACACACACGTGCGCATGCGCACGTTTGTGTGCATATATAATTATATGTATGAGTGTATATATATTCATATATATATATATATCCTATTCTATATATATCATATTATATATATTATATATATATATATATATATATATATATATATATATATACATACATGGTATCTATCTATATACAATTCATTGCAATTCAGCAATGAATTAACCGCTCTATGAT